GTGTCAGGCCCCCCGCCCCGCTCACAGACTCAACCCACAGCGTCTAGTTTGGTGCCATGCAGAACTACTACTGTTACCTGTCCTGTTTTGTCTTTTTTTAAGAGAAGCTAGCTGATGTTTTTATTTTTCAAAAATCCAATAAGGCTATGCTGTAGAAGCCGCTGGACCAGACGGCTTTACTAGCCGGTCCAGTTCCCGGTTGGAAACTCCTTCTCTGAGCTGAAGGCAGGGCTAAAAGGCGGAAACACGACACCACGTGCTCGTCTCAGACCTCTGTGGAGTATAAATAAAAGAATAAAGCCCACCCTCCTGTTATTGATCATGCTTGTCTCAAATGAACCAACATGTACTCAGTTTATGGTCCAAAAAGAATCTTGTCATCCAAGTTTAAGCCTATTTTCTTATGGACTGTACCTTTCATTTGCATATTCCTGCAGACTAAACTCGCATTTCACTTCACAGAAATGCAGCAATCCCTCTTCTGCATCGAAGGACTGTTTTCTTACTTGAAATGAACTCAGTTTAGTAATAACTCTGTTTTTGCATCTTTCTTTTGTACCGTCTAATCTTAACTATCCAAATAAAAAGGATTTCTCAGTCTGTTGGTGTGTGAAGCATTTCATATGTATTTTGCACAATCTGCCTGTTACATTAACTTTACGTTTGGTTTCGGATACATTGGAAGAGATTTTTCATGGTAGTCTTTTCTTTAGGGATCTGAATTAGCTTAACTACACAGAGAAAACATCAATTGTACACAAATAACTTCTGAATCTAACAATAAGTTGTAAAATTACACTACCAAAAAAATAAATATCTCAAAACGTTTAACATGCTGTTTAATATACTGTATGTATAATTATTGGCATAATTTAAGATGTTGCAGGATAAATAATGACAGCATTTTAGTTTATTGGGTTGAACTATTGAATTATCACTGAATGTATTCTAGAAATCTAAACTGTATATGATCAATGTCATCCTTTAAAAGTTTTATTTTTTTACTGTTAATATTCAATATATAAAATATCCCTAATATTAAAATGAAATTGAGAACTTCTCTTTATGTAATCAATGTATTGAATGTATTTAACAGGGAGCCCAACTAAATGTGCATGACCCTTTTTTTTTTTGACCACTTGGTGGCAGGAAAACGTCAGTAAACCAGCCGGATTTAGCATCCCTCTGCTATCTAAAGTAAACATTTCCCTGTGAAGGCAGGGATGTGATCCACAAAAATTCAGACTGCTTATTGTTACGCATGCCATTATTTTAGCCCTCCTAAAAGATCCAAAAACTGGAAGAAAAAAACCTAAAAAGTGCTGGGTTTGCAATGCATGCAAGATGTGGGAAGCAGACAGAAGGCAGCTCTGGTAAATGTGTTAAACTAGGACCACAACAGCCAGATCAAAGAAAACAGATAATACATAAAAACTATAGGGAGGAGGTGATGCTACTCAAGGCCTCTAAAGCATGGCCCAAAGAGGGCACATTGAGTCTGTAGACTCTGATAACAAAGGGAATTAAATAGACAATTTCTAACAACGATAAAGCTGTCAAAATTAAAGGTAATCTCATTTCATGGTAAAAAGTACAAAATATGTAATCCAGGCACAGATCTCTCTGGTGCCAAGATGTTACCACTATGGAGCTATCCAGGAAGGTTTGCTCCATTTTGAGTCCTCAGCTGGGCCAGCAGGTCTTACTGAGAAAATAATCCAAATGCTGGAAAGTCATGGACCTGATAATGGTGTCAGGATCGCATCAGTCCAGGCTCTAAACCCTCCCCCCCAAAAAAGGTGCACCTCTAAAAGAGACAGTTGCATTATTCAAGTATTGATGATTTAGAGAATGAACGCATCCATTTAGCTGGATTTACGCAGCAAAATACCACAGGGATGCAGAGACCCTCCAGTTCAGCCGTGTAATGAAGTCGTTTTTTAGCTCTACAGACTCTGTAAGGAGGCGTCAGGATCCCAGCGAGTTCTGCTTCTGGTGACTGCAGTTTTTCTGCTTTAAAGCTGGTGAAAACACACCTCAGGTCCACCATGAATGATGACAGATGGAGCCATCTGGTTGTACTGAACGAGGAGGGCAAAGGCTCTGAATAGGGAGACATTTGTTGTCCGGTTTGCTGGAGAATCCCCAAAACTGCAAAATGCAGCTGCTGTAGTTTGAAACCCTACATAGGAACGTAGATCAGGAAGCAGGGACCATCTGTAGACTAAACCTCACAAAGGTTGTCATGGATGCACTTCTAGGTTTTATCTTAGGTATTATGAAGAAACACCAATACTGTGTTGTGGTATTACTTTAGGCTGAGCTAAATATGTTGAAGGCTTTGAACACTGGATTGGATCAATTTCTATTGTAAAAAAAAAAACTCATTCAGGACTCGAGTCCCTCTGGCTGTAGTGTGTCAGTGTAGTATGCGGGTCCCAGCTCTCTGCAGGTCCTTCATCAGGTCCCTCTGTGGAGTTCTGGGGTTTTGGCTGGCTGTTCTCGTGGTCATTTTGACCCCACAGGGTGAGATCCTGCATGGGGCCCCAGATGGAGGGAGATCATCAATGGTCTTGTATGTCTTCCATTTTCCTACAATTGCTCCCACAGTTGATCTCTTTACACCGACCTGTATGCCTGTTGTAGCCTGGTGTTCTTGGGCTGGTTTGGGTCTTTTGGTCTGGCCCTGCTGAGTTTGGAGACCGACTGTTTGAGGCTGTTAAAAGGTGTCTTTATTACAGGTAAGGAGGTCTAACAGGTGTCTTTAATGCAGGTAAGGAATGGAGGACAGAAGAGCTTCTTGAAGACTAAGTTACAGGTCTGAGAGAGCCTGAAATCTTCTTTGTTTGTGGGTGACCAAATTCATTTCCCACCATAATTTACTAATACTTTTTTTTTCCTGGATATTTTTGTTCTCATTTTGCCTTCCATATTTGAAGTGTAGCTATGATAAGAATTAGACCTCTTTTTTCCAGGTTGGAGAACCTGCACAATCAGGGGGAAACTAATTACCTTTTACCCGCTGTATGTAAAGTAATTACAAAAGAAACCCAACTCAAATATGTTTTGCTATTCGCCCCCCTTCAGAACACGTCTGTATTGTCCACATCCAGAGACATAAGGCATTCACACAAGTCACCAAATGTTATCGGCTTTTAGTCTGCAGCCATGTGAGTGTGTCTCAGACGGTTCAGGAGAGATTAAAAAAGAAAAAGCAAAGCAAAGTGAATGCTAAAAATGTGTCACACAGTTCTAATGTTGGATCAGCGCCCAGTGATGAACCTCCTTTTCCTTTGATCCCTATAGACTACTGAGTGGTGATAAAGAACAAGTCTCTGGGGTCATCAGGTGGGATTGACCAGTGATTGGTCAAGTTGGTCCCAGGTCACCACCCACAATAACCAATATGATCTTCTAGCCCAGTCAGCATATAATAATGAATAATTAGAATATTTAGGTCACTGTGGTCTGAAAGACAGGTCTGAAAAGAGTTATTTGGACAGTTATTTCCAGTCCACATCACCTGATGCTGGCATTTGGACCAGCACTGGCGCGCGGACGCGCTCGGCCAGTCCGGGCGTCGCGCGCCTCTGATGACGGGAGGAGGAGAGCACTGACTGGTTCCACCCCGCGGCAGTCGCGCGCGGTCACTCCGCGCTGAGTGTGCGCCAGGATGAGCCGCGCGCTCCGCTTGCTGCGCGTGGCGCTCTGCGCGCAGCTGCTGCTGCTGCCGCGCGCGGCGGCGTCCTCCAGCAGGACGGACGCGGACTACGGGGACTACCGCGGGAAGTGGTGCCTCGACGACCACGGCTTCGTGTACGGCCTCGGGGAGGTGTACTACCCCAGCCGCACGGCGTGTCCGTGCACGTGCACCGTGGACGGACCGGTGTGCATCCGACCCAAGTGTCCGCGCGTCCACCCGCGCTGCACGCGGATCAAGTACAAGGCGTGCTGCCCGGTGTGTGAGGCCATGGCCAGAGTTTGTGTCTACGCCGGAAAAACGTACAGGCTCCTGGAGGAGTTCAGGGTGAGAAACGCGCACGCTTTTTTGTCCTCCCTCCTCTCTCTGCCCGCGCGTCCGCGTGCTTTCACGCGGCACCTGCGCCGCACGCGACTGAGATTTACGCACATCTTAAATGTCTTAAAAGCTTCCAAATCCGGTTGCAAATATTTCTTTTGTATGTCACTCATATGTACATTTTGATTAGTGACCTTTTTTGGCCTATTTAATTACAAAAAAAATGAATTTATTTGAATAGTTTCAAATGGAGAGATGAAAAGTCGATTCTCGAATTAATGTCGTGTTTTTTAAAAGGATGCTACATTTTCGTCACTTCTATGTTGAATATAATACTATAATATAATAATCACACTTTGATGGGGGGTTTATGTTTATGTATTCAGCTTTTATCCAAAGTGGTTTACAGTTAATAACAAAGCTGACCAAAGCATATATTCGTTTTATATGTTATTATATACATTCCATATATACCATATATACATTGTATATATTCCAAAGCATGGAATATCTCGCCATTTCCTCCTCCTCCTCGTCCTGGTATCTGAGTCCATCTGGACTCCAGGTCTTCAGCGTCCTCCACAGAAAGAACAGAAAGGTAGAAAAGCCTACAGTTGTTCCAGGAATCCAGAGTTTAACCAGCAGACTGAGTCCCAGCTGGACCAGATGCAGCCCTGCTGCTTTTTCTCTGGCTGGAAGAGATCTGCTCACTGGAGTTTAGAGACCAGCCCCCCAAATCCAGGGTTCAGGTTTTAGGATTCAGGGGGAAAATGCAGAGAAAGGCTCCCAGATGCAACAGGACAAAGACAGCAGTAGAAGCAGGTCTGCACTCGCCCACAGAAGAAGAAAAAATTTAGAAAGATATACATTTCACTATGCCCCCCCTCAATAGTCTGTGCCCTGACCAAGCCCCCCTAGGAAAGAAACCCTGGACCTCTGCAAAGAGCAGAGGCCCCAGTACTGACCCTTGGGGGACGCCTGTGGTGAGTGTGACCACGCCATGATACTTTGAATGGTCCACCAATCAGGTTTGATTCAAACCTGGAGTGTACCCTCCCTGAATTAGATCAGGCAGGTGTAGAAAATGGATGAATTCGAATAAATGGATTGCGTTTAGCTTTGCCTGGGTTTCATCTCAATCGTAGTCCAGAAACAACAGAAAAACTCACCTTCATGTTGACTCTCTCTTTGATTCAAACAGTGAGAATATTTCAAATGTTGGCATTTCCATACAGAAAAGCTTTAACCCAGTGGTGTCCAAACGACTTGTGTCCTAGTTGTCGAGGTGTGAGCGATGCCGCTGCGAGGCCAACAGAGAAGTGTACTGTAGCATCTCAGACTGCCCGGCTCCGCACTGCGTGAACCCCACCTACGAAGCCAACCACTGCTGTCCCATCTGTAAGGATGGTAAGACCACGTCATGGTGGAGGTGCTCTCTGCTTCACAGGCCTAGAACAAGCGCCACCCTCAGTGTAAATACTGCTATGATTAGATACTGCCATGAATAAACCCAAAAAAAGGGCGCCTTTTCTTTTCTGTGTGGGCCATAGAAATCTGGTAATCCCTAAACAGGAAATTATTACTGAAGTAAATTCCACTAAATGTAATCTGGTAATTAAAATTCTACTTATTGTAGAATTTGTAACGGCTTCACTGCTTTCACTAAATATTAACGCCTCTAATAGGGTCTGAATTTAAGTAGAAATAATCAAACTGATTTAAGATCATTTTGATAATCTGTCCTTTTGCTCACACATTCTCATGGATACTAATGCAGAGTTTCCATTGCAATCTTTACACATTATTCTCGCCTTTATTTTTTCCTTTAAACACACACTGATGAACACATTTTGAACCAATGTAGGTTTCAGAAGAGCCCTTTGACATCAAGGATCAATTCACACAAGCATAATACCATAAAAGTGAATCTTTTTATTTCTTTTTTTTTATTAACAAAGGCAGAGGAACCTTTCTAAAGATGATTTTCATATTGTGTGTTGTGTAGAACAGACTGGAACATGATCAATTTCTTTATTTGAAGAGGACAGACTAAAGAAATAATACTTTTTTTATAGAGTCTTATAACATAAAAATTTGCATTATCTTTTAGGCCCACAAAGTTGAAAAATCTCACTCAACAAACCATTCAGAGTTTCACTTACTTACCTCCTGAATTCACTTATTCGGGGTCTATTGTTTGGTTTTTCTCTACTTTATATTCCTTTGCTTTTGGTACTGATGACAGCTTCTGTGACAATGTGTACTCAGCAATTTCTAAACAAGTTTTAAGGATGAATTTGAACTTTCGAGACCTTGTCACTTTGTCAACTGAAAGCTACTTAGTTTCACAGTTATTTTCTGTTTTTTAGCCTCAGCTGTGTGGATATGGTGGCCCCTCTGCTTCAGTAGCAGTCCTCTCCTCACACCAGCTGACCAGCACATGGCTTTTAGACGGAATCTGAATCGAGTTCCATTTTCCTACATAATGCACATCACCATTGTTGTTAATTAAAGATAATATTTACTGGCATTTATTGCTGGCGTAACACAAATCTTCCTTTCTAACCAGTTTCCCTAAAAGACCAACGGTTACAATTTGTATTGATATGCAGAACTGGTCTTTTATTATGTTTGGGTCATTTTTTTGATCACAAAATATGGCCCCAGGTTTAGTGAGAGCTTCTTTTTATTCCTGGCTCTGGCTCAATCTGAGATTGTTGCTCAGCTCCGGAAGCGGCAGATACCTTGTTCTTGTGAGGATCACGCTTCCCAAACATTTAACAGAAGATTCCTCGGGTCAAAATGGGGCTTTCTTAATGAGCGCCCCGATCCCGAGCCGAACATCAGGGCCGTCCTGCTGATGTTTTACTGACGGCAGCAGAACCCACAGGCACTCAGGTTTAAGCTGGTGAGTCCCATCTGTGTCAGCGGAGGCCACGTCACGGCGTGTCCATCTCTCAGCTCTGGTTATGTCACCTAAAACAGCCCACAGCTTACCCCCCCCCCCCCCCCCTGTTATGTCACGCGTGCTTTTACTGCCTTTAAGTCCAGCATGAGCAGATTGCTGCGTCTGTGTGTGTGCTGGACAGGAATAGCAGCAGGAAAAAGAATAATGCTGCGATAATGCAGATTTCTATCTGTTCCATGATTAAATAAAAACATGAATTTTTGAGCCCACATTGACGGAACTAACATGACTTTTTTTTCGAGGCTGTTTCCGGAAACAGTTGTGTTCGAGTGGCTCCGTCTTGTTTGCCGCTCCTCTGCTGGACACTCAGTGGGACAGATGGTTAGGTTTGTTGCGTCATTGTGTTTTTTTTCCTTGTTGCTTCCAAATTCCCTCACGTCATCTGTGTGTTAGCGCACACGGTCGGAGCTGGCATGGGATGATCTCTGCTTCCTGTGCTCCCCCTGACTGGGGTCGGTAATTGTTTCCCAGGTAGCTGCCAAGCAGAGGAACTCCCATCTGTGACAGGGATTTAAATGATTCCAAAGCCAGAGTGCTCACATTTATTGCTTCCACTACTCTGCTTCAAAAATAATGTATTTGTAATGGATAGATTACTAAGTAGGATGGATATTTGCAAAGCAGATGGTTTCATTTGAAGTAAATCTGGTTCCATAATGCACATAGTCATGCGGTTTTATGACATTTGCTTAACAAGAGGTTATAAAAGAAAGTACTTTTAGTATGTGGATTGAACAAATTCATTGTATTTTATTTAAGAAAAATAGAAAATCTCACGCCAGACCTCAAAATAGCAAAGGATTGAAGTATATGTAATAGCTTTGCAATGTCTCACTCCAGCCTAAATCTTAACTGTAGGTGGGAGAAAAAGTGTGTGTGTGTATATATATAATATATATATAAAGGAGGACGGTAAACGGTGTCCTGCCCTATCTAGGTCCCAACTGCTTTGCCGGGAGCCGGGTCATCCCAGCCGGGGAGCGCGTGAACGTGGACGAGCGCACGGTTTGCTTCTGCACCTACCGGGACGGCACCTGGCACACCCACCCCCACGCCACCTGCGAACCGCGGCCCCAGCCCAGCCCAACGGCCGGCCCCCGCACCGAGTCCCCCAGGGACGAGGACGCCAGGGGCCGAGGGGGGAGGGCCTTCATCCCCAGACTGGATCTGATCCCGTGAACCCCTGGTGGGACAAACGTCTCACAGAGAATGAGAAGGGTTGCTCTTCGGGTACAAACAAACCGGCAAAAGCAGGTTCCAGAAAGGTGGACCATAAAGTGTAGTTGAGATTCATGTAGCTGACTCTGAGTGCAGAACCAGTCGGGCACGGGGTCCGGCACACACTTTGGAAATGTTCCCAGCATTTCCACCAGAAGCACTGGATATGTTTAGCAAATAGTTTAGGTAAAACCCTGCTCTTGCTGTGTCAAGTCAAATGAAAAACTGTCTTTGAATGCATGCACCTATTTAATATCCCCAATCTGCTCATAGAGCTTTTTCTTTTTTTTAGGAGCTATGTATGTTAGAGGCCTCCAAACAAACAAAAGAGGATGAGTTGGTTTCTCTGGACATGCATATGTAGTTAAATCTTCTTTAAATGGCTCCAGGCCACAGCAAAGGTCAGCGCTAGCCTCTGAAGCCTGACAGCCTCTGTCCGGCCGCCCCCGAAAGGAAATCCAACCAAATTAAAACAAGACGCAGCCAAAGACAATCACTGAGATTAATAAGACCAATGTGGACCTCCATAATTGACCTTCTATTTCAATACACAACTGCGATACTCTCAGAACAGTTGATGAATTTGAAATAAAACTCATGACGAGGTTGATTTCTCTGTTGTCACATGTAAAAAGTGAATATTTTAAAAGACTTTGAAGCGGCAAAAAAACCCCCACTGAAAATCACATGTATATATTTGTGTTTTTTTTTCCAGTCTAATTCTAACTATGCAATCAAGACCATGTTGTGCCGCAGGAGACGTGCTGTAGTTCCCTCTGCTGCCGGCCCCAAAACAGAGAGACATTTATCATGGATTAATGTTGTTATTCAGAGTCTCTGTCCAGTCCAGTTCTATTACCCTCCTGAGAGTCCATCTTTTATCTGCTGTGTTTCTGCTCCGTTCCAGATCTCTGGATCAGTAGGAGCTAATAAGTTTAATAATTAGACTTTGGCCTGGTTCAGGTAGTTTTTCTTCATAATGGCTAAGTTGGTTTATATTTAGATTTAAAATGTCTTGTTAGAGATTTAATTAAATGTTTTCTCTGCTATTTGGTTCTGAGGGTCCAAATGACTTATTTACATTTTGATTCCACAATAAGAACGTGATTGCTGTAAAATGTCTAAGAGCATTTTCCTTTAGATTTCCAACAGTAGTGTCTGATAGCGTCTGCTTGAGGTCAAAGGTCAAAGAAAAAAGAAGGATCATGGGAAAGGGAGGCAGAAATGCAGCATCCTCACAGGAGAACAGGCTAGGAGGTTAAGAATTTTAGGTAATTCAGTTTACCTGTATTAATAACGGCATAAAAAAATAGTCAAGAAAACCAGTGAACAACACTTTTTTTCACCCAATGTATTCATTTGGTCTTTCAAATGCTCTATTTTTATTTAAAGTAGCTGTTATATTAAATCGGATGTCCCAATCATAATAAATTCAAAGAATATTAGGGTTTGTTTTTGTTGAATGTTGGTGGTCGTCTGGTCTCTGTCCAGTCCTGCTGATGACCATCTGTACACCTCCAAGCCAACAGGCTTCACACACAGCTTCATTCTTCATGTGCAATACATAAAGTGACTGACATTTCCCAGAACGCGTTTCATGGCAACCGACAGCTGTAAAGCTGCTAAGAGCTGTTTTAATTCTCGCTTTAGTGCTTTTGATACAAAGCTCCTATTTAGATCATTAACTCATTCGCTGCCAAAGACGTCTATAGACGTCTTTTCAAATCCAACCGCTGATTGCCAAAGACGTCTATAGACGTCTTTTATGTTTTTCAATGCGAGTGGCTTGGGGGACGATCGGCGAAAGTTTTCCCGTAAATATCGGCTTCTAGACAGAGTATGGACTAACACATTTACCCTCTAGGTAGCTGTGCCACTTTTGATGGGAGATTAGCATAGATTGTAAGCAAATAAAAACAAACGCAATAGTTCGCTATGAGAGAAATGGCGCCGGTGAGACGCACGTCGAAGAAGAACGGAATGAGGTAGAAACAAAATCTTTTTTCCTGATGAAAGAAGAGAGTCTACTCTTTCTTTTGGTGTGTTCGGTGTTTACATAGTCATAGCACAAACTATTCTGTGGCTCTTGAAAAATCAGTCAAAATTCTCAAAAAACTCTGGCAGTGAGCGACTCTCTGTTCTGAAAATGGCTGCCAGTCAATGAGGAGTATTTTATCTAAATGATGCCCGTTTGCAAATGTGTTCTGACGTTTTCAGAGATCGGGGGCGGGCCAACCGGCTCCGGATGTCCACAGGTGAGTCCAAAGGTGAGTCCACAGGTGGAGGGCTGGTTGAGGAGCAGGAGTCGGACTCGGGGTGAGTTCCAGCGTCTCTTCCTTCTCTCTGACAGCGAGAACGGGCACAGCTCGGCTCGGTTCTCCTCCATGAAGCTGACGCGCCTTATTTCCGCCTAGTCTGTGTAATCTCAGCTCGTTCTGCTCACTTTTGACCCGAACTTCCGTATCTGTCGTTTGGTCTCACTCAGCTGAGCACGTCGCGGTTTGCAAGCACAAACACACACACACACACACACGCACACACACGCACTAACACACACTCACACGCCAAGCGAAAACGGCTTCCGCCTGCTGAGAGGTGCGCGCTCCCTTGTACGGCGCCGCCTAAAATCTAATCTGAGTAGCTCAGTGAAGCTGACACCCCACCCACGTCAGTGCTCCGTTTGTGCAGGTTTGTGCCGTTAACATTTTCGTTTGTGCACTTCTGGTTTCTGAGATATTAAAAATGTTTTTTAGGTCATCTAGAGTTCATCATCCCCCCATATCGCTCCAAAACAAACCAAAGTGGGCTAGTTCGTTAGTGCTCCGTTTGTGCAGGTTTGTGCCGTTGAAATTTTCGTTTGTGCAG